ATCAAAGCAAAAAAACGCGGTTATTGGCGCAATTTCGTCGAGGGACTCTCACGAGAAACCTCAATGAACACCTTGTGGAGGGTGGCTCGCAACATGCGTAACCGCTCATCTTCTAATGAGAGTGAAGAATACTCCAACCGATGGATATTCGATTTCGCTAAAAAGGTCTGTCCGGACTCAGTTCCAGCACAACATATTCTTCGAGAAGCGTCTCCGAGTGGCAGCTCTCTGGATAGACCATTCACAATGCTGGAATTCTCTATGGCTCTTCTTTCATCGAACAACTCCTCACCGGGAAGCGATATGATTAAATTCAATCTTCTGAAAAATCTCCCAGGTATCGCTAAAAGACGCTTGCTAGACTTATTCAATTCCTTACTAGAAAACAACATTATACCGCCTGAATGGAGACAGGTCAAAGTAATAGCCATTCGAAAACCTGGCAAACCAGCGTCTGACCATAACTAATACCGCCCGATTGCGATGCTTTCGTGCATTAGGAAATTGTTGGAGAAAAGGATCCTTCGGAGACTCGATCAGTGGGTCGAAACAAATAACTTGCTATCAAATACACAGTTTGGATTCTGCAAGAGCAAAGGAACAAACGATTGTCTAGCGCTGCTTTCCACAGATAATCAACTGGCCTTTGCGCACAAGGAGCAATTGGCTTCAGTATTCTTGGACATTAAGGGGGCTTTTGATTCAGTTTCCATGGACTTTCCGGAATTTTAAATAATTTCTTGTACAATTTGTTGTCAGAAAAGCAAATGAACTTTTCCCTTGGACAACTGACAACTTCCAGAATTAGCTACATGGGCCTGCCCCAAGGCTCATGTCTCAGCCCTCTTCTTTATAACTGTTTGGCAGAACAATGCACGCTAAGACAACTTGCAGATGACGGTGTGGTTTCCATAAGAGGTCCACATGCTGTGGACGTGCAAGATTGCAAAGTTCCTTAGATAACTTGTCTTCTTGGGCTAGGAATCTAGGGATCGAATTCTCGCCGCAGAAAACTGAACTGGTAGTGTTTACTCGAAAGCGGTACGCAGCCGAAATGCATCTTAATCTTTTGGGCAGAAACATTACTCAATCATTGTCTTTCAAGTACCTTGGGGTCTGGTTTGATTCAAAGTGCACTTGGAATACCCATATTACGTATTTGAAGCAAAAATGTCAGCAGAGGATCAACTTTCTCCGTTCAATTTGCGGCACATGGTGGGGTTCTCATCCGGGAGACCTCATAACGCTTTATAGAACAACAATTCTTTCTGTTCTAGAGTACGGCTCTTTCTGCTTTCTCTCGGCAAGAAAATGTCACCTAATAAAATTGGAACGAATTCAATATCGTTGTTGCTCTTGGCTGTATGCACTCAACGCATAACATGAGTCTCGAGGTTCTGGCAGGAGTAACACCCCTCCAGAACCGTTTCTGAGAGCTCTCTCTCTCAGAATACTAATCAAATGCGGAGTGACAAATACACTTATAATTGCAAATTTTGAAGAAATTCTTGGGCTGAACACACAATCTCGATTTATGAGAATCTACCACCACTACATATCGTCGGATATGTGTCTTCCTTGTTACACTCCAGACCGTTCTCACTTCACCAATCGCAGTTCCTCAATTGAATATGATCTGACCATGAAACAAGCAACTCATGGGATCCCCTATCAACTTCGACCTATTATTATCCCGCGTATTTTTACTGAAAAGTACCAACACGCAAATTGCGTGAACATATATTTTACAGACGGGTCTCGTCTCAGTGGATCCACTGGCTTCGGTGTCTTCAATGAAAACTCTAGCGCCTTCCGCAAACTCCAGGAGCCTTGTTCCGTTTTTGTTGCTGAGCTGGCAGCAATCAACTTCGCATTGGGGATGATTTCCAACATGCCCGCAGACCATTACTTCATCTTCTCGGATAGTCTCAGTTCGATTGAGGCTATTCGGTCGATGAAACAAGGTAGGCACTCATCTTATTTCCTTTCAAAGGTAAGGGAGCAGATGTGTGTGCTGGTCGAAAGATCATATATGATTACCTTTGTATGGGTCCCCTCACATTGCTCAATCCCAGGCAATGAGAAGGCGGACTCTCTCGCAAAGGTGGGCGCGCAGGAAGGCGAATTTTATGACAGGAAAATTTCACACGATGAATTTTACCATTTAGTGCGTCAGAGTACCCTTTCGAGTTGGCAAACCGATTGGGACAATGGAAATCTTGGACGGTGGTTACATTCAATTATTCCTAATGTTTCTTCGAGAGCGTGGTTTAAAGGCTTGGGCTTAAGTCGTGACTTTATTCACGTGATGAGTAGACTTATGTCCAACCACTACTCGCTAGATGCTCATCTCAATAGAATAAACCTCGTAGACAGCAACATCTGTCGGTGTGGAAACGGTTACGATGACATCGATCACGCAGTTTGGCTATGTACGGATAATGACGCCGCCAAAGAGCGACTTTTGAATACCCTTGAGGCCCAAGGAAGACAACCCTATGTTCCTATCAGAGACGTGTTGGGAACTCGTGATATCTGCTATATGCAGTCGGTTTATGTGTTTCTTCAAATGTCTAGTATAAGAATTTAATTCCTTTGTCTTTTGTCTCTCTTTAATAGTTTTTGTTTATCTTGTCCCCGCGTCTCGATGAGTCTCATCGTCGCCCACTGGTCACCATAGCCGGTCGAACTCCAGACGAAACTGGACCGCACTACCATTCATACTGGCGACAACGCTCTGATGAGACAACGAAACCTTACCCCCAAACTCCTCCCTGATCCTATCTTTCGACAATGTACCTCTCTAACCTTGAGTAAGCCGCGAGTATTCGGCCCAACTCCTACTAGACATAAAATTAAGTGAATTTTGTTACAAACAAAGAACAATGAACTATCGGCTCCGTAAAGCTAACGCGATTGAGCCTTCCAAATAAACGAACTAGATAAAAAAAAATATTTGGAAAAGTGGACAATAAAAGAAAGCGCATTTGAACGCGCAAGTGCGTTAGTGGTTGGATTCGTTTCGTGGGTTTGATCGACAAAACCCACACCTCGACTGCTGTCGTTTCCAGGTTTGGCCGTCAAAACCTGTGCCGTCACGTTTCCTGGTTTGGGCGACAGAACCTGTGCCATCACGTTTCCAGGTTTGGGCGTCAGAACCTGTGCCATCCCCGTTTCCAGGTTTGGGCGTCAGAACCTGCGTCATCGATTGTGAGTTGGGTGCTTGGGTTGGCGTGTCGACTGGTGAGTACTCTCGTAGAGTAAGCAAGTTTTTTGGATTTTTGATTGGAGGAGTGGACTGGCATCGATTTTTAAGAATTTGGCTTGGGTTGTGGTGGTAATTGGTGGTCTGTCTTTCACGTGACGATCTCAGCAGGCGATATGACGTCGCTTCGGGAACGGTCAAAAGCATTGAGCGTCATTACGGACGCAATACAGACCATCGAGAACTTCGTCAATACTTACGATGCCGAGGTCGATCGAGACAAGATCGACTCTAGATTGAGTAGGCTAGATTTATTATATGATCGATTTACTAACGCTTCAATTGAGTTTGAATTGCTAATGGATGAAAAATCCGAAACAAAGGCTACGTTTATGAAGAGCCGCAATGAAATGGAGGACAAGTACTACAATTTGCATGACTTTCTCACCGCAAATAAAGTGAACCGCCATATTGCTGCTAATACCTCTCAGGTTTCTACATCTGTAGTGCGCTTGCCAAAAATTGATTTGCCAACTTTTGATGGCGAGATAGACAATTGGATCCCATTTTATGATGCTTATCGCAGCTTAATCCACAACAATAAGGGTTTGGCTGCTGTAGATAAATTCCATTACTTGATGGCAGCACTCAAGGAACCCGTCAAGCAACTCCTTGATACGACTAGCATTACGGGAGATAATTACAGGATCGCTTGGGATTTACTGGTCAGTCGCTTCGATAACAAGCGCCTGCTAATTAAAAACCATATTAACTCTCTTTTCGCCATTGAGCCTGTGAAAAAGAAATCTTCTGCTACCATATTGTGCCTGGCTGACCAATTCGAACGCCATGTAAAAATCCTAACGACGTTGGGGGAGCAGACAGAGCAATGGAGCTCCCTGCTCGTGCACATGGTGTGCAGTCGCTTGAATCAAAGCACTTTGAGGGAATGGGAACGGTCAACAGGTAACGATAAAGAGAAGGTTCCTACGTATGACGAGCTGATTACCTTTTTGAAAGATCAAGCTCGGATCTTGATGTCCTTGAACAGTGGAATCCTGGTACCCTCCCCTCTAAAAGATAAACCCCGTTTCTCTGTTGCTCATACCGCATCAGTTGCAAAATCATACTCACCAAAATCCTTCAGCTGTATCGTGTGCAACCAACCGCATCGGATTTACGATTGCGAGGTGTTCAAACGGATGTCAATCGAACAGAAGCAAGACACCGTCCGCAAGAAGAAGCTATGCTGGAATTGCTTATCATCGAGTCATCTCAGCCGTGACTGCTCCTCCAAACCCTGTCGGAAGTGCAACGAAAAACACCACACACTTTTGCATTCTTCCTCCCCCAACGATCGTTACACCCAACCCCAAGTCAAACCACCTACTGGAAATCTACAATCCACCACCTACACCGGAAGTGGAGCCGTGGTCCCGGCATCATTGTCCACTCCAATTCCACCATCACCAATCACCTCGTCCGCCACCCACCAACCTCTCACCAACGCATTAGCTGCAGCAAGCTCTTCCACCACCACCTACTCGACTGTTCTGTTATCCACCGCCGTGGTAAAGGTCCACGGCCCGTCGGGGAGATCTACATTTGTTCGAACCCTGTTGGACTCCTGCTCTGAGTCAAACTTCATCACCGAAAGAATCGTTCAACTTTTGGGATTGAACCGACGAAAGCAAGCTGCAATTATCGCTGGAATGGGTGGCTCTACTGTCAACAGTACTTACTGCACCGTAGCAGATTTCAGTTCTGTTAATTCCACCTACTCTAACACACTGACGTTCAGCATCCTCTCCAAGATCACCAACGATCTGCCCTCTCGGGCAATCGACATTTCGCAATGGAACCTCCCTCCTGAGGTAGTCTTGGCAGACCCAGATTTTGCTTCGCCGCAAAGGATCGATATGGTTATCGGTGCTCAGCTGTTCTTCAGCCTTCTGCAGGAAGGACAGATCCCAGTAAATGCTGGTCCTTTTGAACACCAGCCTATTCTCCAACGTACCGTGCTCGGATGGGTAGTAAGTGGACCTGTTGCCATCGATACCGCTACCCAAGGACCTGAGCGAGTCGCTCTGTTGTGTACCACCGATGACTTGGACCAACAACTGACTCGATTCTGGGAAGTCGAGAGTTGCCCTCAAAGCCGTGGACTATCTAAGGAAGAATTAGCTTGCGAGATGTACTTTTCCGAAACCACCACCCGCGACGAATCAGGCCGATTCGTTGTACGCCTGCCGAAGAAAGAGCACGTCTTGAGTCAACTTGGTGACTCCGAGATTGGTGCCCTTCGCAGATTTCAATGGATGCAACGTCGACTCAGCAAGAACCCCGATTTGAAGGCCCAGTATGTAGACTTCATGGCAGAGTACATAGAACTTGGCCATATGGTTCCCGTAGATCCATTACAAGACAAAACCCATACCCGCTCGTTCTATCTTCCTCACCACGCCGTGCTCAAGCCGAGCAGCACTACCACTAAGTGCAGAGTGGTTTTCGATGGGTCCAGCAAGTCTTCTACGGGAATCTCTCTCAATGATTGCCTTATGGTGGGACCGACTGTTCAGGATGCATTATATGCTATCGTCATCAGGTTCTGCATGTACGAAGTGGCGTTAGTTGCAGATGTAACCAAGATGTATCGCCAAATGTGGGTACATCCTGACGATAGGCGTCTTCAGCTCGTGTACTGGCAAAGCAGGACTGATTCACACGTGCATCCCTACGAGCTGACCACGGTAACATACGGCACCGCATGTGCGCCGTATCTAGCTACTCGGTGTCTACAGCAATTGTCCTACGATCACTCGGCGAGCAAAACCGATGCTGCAGCACGAATCGGTAAGGATTTCTACGTGGACGATTTCCTCAGCGGTGCTGACACTGTGGAAGAAGCAACGCAGCGCATTCTGGAGTGCAGAGCATCCTTGCGTCCGCAGGGTTCGAACTTCGAAAGTGGTCGTCGAATTCGTCCGAAGTGTTGTCACACATCCCGGACAACCTGAAGGATGATAGGCCAATTGTCGCAGTTGATGACATCCAAGGCTCCGTCAGCACACTCGGTCTGCTGTGGCACCCTGAATCGGATACCTTCCGGTTCAAAGTTCCTGAGCGATTCTCTGATAATCCGATCACAAAACGAATCGTGGTCTCCGAGATGTCCAAATTCTTCGACCCATTGGGTATCTTGGGTCCGGTGATCATCACAGCCAAAGTGTTTGTCCAACAACTTTGGAAGTTGAAACTAAGCTGGGACGAAGAGCTTCCCAATGCACTCTGTACCGTGTGGGAAGACTACAGACTTGGTCTGGCTGCTCTAGGAACATTTTCCATCTCTCGTTTGGTCAAAGCTCCAGGCGCCGGAGACAACGTGCAACTTCATGGGTTTTGCGATGCATCCCAAAATGCTTACGGAGCTTGCATCTACTTGAAAAGTGTCGGAAGAAGTGGTGTCGTCACAACCCGTCTCCTAACCGCCAAATCCCGAGTATCTCCTATCCAAACCTTATCAATTCCCCGGCTAGAGCTCTGCTCTGCTGTCCTCCTCAGCCAACTGCACCAAACTGTTATGTTAAGCCTCAACATAAATGCTCATGCTTATTTTTGGTCTGACTCTTCAATCACTCTCCACTGGCTGTACAACCCACCGTCCAACTACAACACTTTCGTGGCAAATCGTGTCGCGGAGGTGCAGCGACCCAAGCAACACGGCTTGTCATAAAGAAGTTGAAAATACTTTTTAATGACTTACGTAAAGAATCAATAATACTGTAATATACGTCATTAAATACATTTATATAACCTAAAAAGCGCAAGACGCGGAGCTTATACAACTAAATACTGGTCTTATAACATGTTTTGGAAACATCATAAAAACCAGCGGCAAAAAAACAATAAAAAAAAACTTGAGCATGGGATTCGATCACTGGGTCCTTGGCGTGGTAGACTTACTACTCCCTATCTAGACCAACTCCGCTTGATGAGAGGTTTGTTATAAGTATCTATCATGTTCTTGCCAATGGCATGAAAATTATATTCTCGTTCAACACGCTTTCGATCCGTCATAAAGATGTTTTGTTAGCAGCAAAGTGTACATCTAATTGCCAGAGTGTTATTTTAAAGTATTTTCAACTCCTCATAAGACAACCTGCACATTTTCAGTTATATTAATTTATGAGATGTAATAAACAAGTGTTTTCAACTTTCTTTATAACAAACCTCCGAATACCTCATAAGAAACTGTCAATCACTGCGTGAAGCGACAGTCCGGCTCAATGGCACCGTCAATGTTTACGTCAATCTGGAAAGTTCAGAATCTCTTCAAGAACTTTATAAATTCAACTAAGATTGATTTTGTATACGACAAGTTTTATAGTGGTATTAAAACAGTAAGATGCACGTTTAAATAACATTTAAAGATAAAAGCAAAAGAAAACTATTTTGGAAAATGTTGAATCTAGGAAGTATGAAGAAAACATCTATAAACCTCACATATAACGTGGGATGTTTTCTGCATCACTTACAATACATTTATATAACAAGCCGTTCTAATTATTTTTCAAAAAGATGTTTTATGTGTTACTTGGGGACTCACTGAAGGAGGCACTTGGAATCACGTCGCTGGTCTGGAGAACCCGGCCGATCTCATCTCGAGGGGTGTCGATCCCTGCGAGCTCGTCAACAACGCACTATGGTGGAAGGGTCCACCGTGGTTAACGTCCGATCCAGCGGAGTGGCCAAGTATGTTTCCAGTCCAAGACGCCTGTGAATTTCCTCCCAAAGTTCTCGAGGTGAAGCTTCGTACGCTTGCAGCCGTCACTCGATCCACCGAAGCTCCCGACCGCACACTGTTCACCCGCTACTCGACACTAACAAGACTCACCCGCATCGCTGCATATTGCCGCAGATTTGTGCGGTACTGTCGGGCCAAGCTCGCTGGATTCCACCTACAAGCTATTCCGTACCTTACCTCAGCAGAACTCCTTCAAGCACAAGAAGGCCTTGTGAAAGTTGTGCAAAATGAGTGCTTCAGCCAAGAAATCGCTATGCTTCAGGCCAGATGCGAAGCGGATCTCAAGAAATCCCCATTACGTACCTTGAATCCCTTCATCCACGATGATGTACTTCTGGTCGGTGGCCGGCTGAACCACTCTTCATACTCGTTCACGCGCAAGCATCCATCTTTTGCCTGCAGCGCATCCGTTCACCTCACTGCTCGTTGATTCGGTGCACAAGCAGCTTCTCCACGCTGGTCCGCGTGCGATGATCGCACACATCCGTGAACAATATTGGCCACTAAACCTCCGTAACCTGGCACGGAGACACGTCAAATCCTGCTTGCGTTGTTACCGCACACGACCACAAGCAGAACACCAACTGATGGGCCAACTTCCGAAAGTTCGCATCACTCCGACCCGTGCGTTTCTCAACACGGGCGTTGACTTCTGTGGTCCAGTTTGGCTAAAGGTACCAGTACGTCGAACGAAACCAGCTCCACCGATCCGAGCATACGTCGCTGTATTCGTATGTAAGGCTACGAAGGCCGTACACCTCGAATTGGTTGACAATCTCAGCTCCGAAGCCTTCATCGCAACGTTGAAATGGTTCGTTGCACGGCGAGGCAAGCCAATCGCCCTGTTCTGTGACAATGCCACCAACTTCAAGGGCGCAGACAGGGAACTCCGAGACCTCTGCAAGCAACTCAACGATCAACAACTACGACTGAAGATAGCATCGTTCTGCGCTGAATCATCCATCCAGTTCAACTTCATCCCCGCGAACGCTCCGACATTCGGCGGCCTTTGGGAGGCCGCAGTCAAGGCTTTCAAGCATCATTTTCGGCGAGTCGTCGGCTTGGAATCCCTGTCAAGCGATGTTATGTGTACCATCCTCTGCCAGATAGAGAGCTGTCTCAACTCTCGGCCACTGACGGCCCTATCTGAAGACCCAAGTGACACTGAAGCCCTCACACCGGGACACTTTCTGGTCGGATCAGCTCTCCAATTAATCCCGGAGCCCGACCTTGCCCAAGTTCCCAACAACCGGCTTTTGCTTTGGCAGGAGGTGCAGCGCAGAACCCAAACCTTTTGGAAACTCTGGTCGACGGACTACCTTCATCAACTACAGCAGCGTTCGAAGCACTACTACCGGCAGCCGAATGTTCTGTTCGGCAAGCTGGTACTCCTGAAGGACGACAACCTACCACCACTCAGGTGGAGCATGGGTCGAATCGAAACCGTCCATCCCGGCGCGGATGGCCTCGTCCGTGTGGTGACCGTCAGACTGGCATCCGGCGCAGTCTTCGACCGACCGATCGTGAAGATCTGCCTGCTTCCCATCGACGATGACGCAAGATCCACCTCCACTTCCGGCGAAGTGCCTGGTGGCCCTGACGACAATGCAGCACCCGCTGCCAACCCAGATGATTGATTGAGAAGTATTAGTTAAGAAGTGAATTTATTGTTAAATTTAATGAAACACATTTTTCATGGTGGCCGGTATGTCGCGGACAACGCGATGGTCCGAGATACCACTGCACAAGCGACACAGAACAAGCAGAAACCTAAACCTATTGTACCCACACACCGCACATAATTGTATTTCGCTCTACACTCCACACAGCAGGAAAAAACAAGCATCTACATCACCTAGGAATATCCTCCCGGCTCGATCACTCTCGATCGAGTCGGTAGGTATAAAAGTACCGGCACCAAATTTCACCAACATTCAGTACAAATCGAACCATTATACGAATAACACCCGTTCAATATACAATTAATTTCTAACGCCGCGAGTTCATCTCTTTTTCTCCTGACCGAAGCCAACCACAAGCCAATCAATCAGTCTTTTTCAAGACTACAAGAGTTTAACTTTCTGTGGCTAAAATCCCCTGAACCAGTGACCATTTCCGGATAGTTCGCTCAGCCGTTGCCAGGCGTTGGAGCTCATCGAAGAGGATCCCAGTGCGTGGACAAGTCGGTTTATAAGGATTCTGGAGTCAAAAGCTGCTTCATTCTCGCATAGTAGAAGATGTTCAGGAAAACTATTAGAACGTTACCAAAATATGGTCAAAGTTGGAACTTGGATTACACGGATATTGTTGTCACGGGTACATAATAAGGTAGACTTATATACTTGAAACAGTTCTTCATTTTGATTTTTCGTTCTAGGTGATCACAAGATCATTAACATAATAGCGAGTGTAATGAGCAATAGTTCAACGTATCCCTGCGCGTTCTGTACCGTGAACAAGAAATATTTGGGGGAGAAGTTTGGCACGCTGCGTACAATCGGGTCCGTTAGGGAAAACAGCGCATCGTGGATTGCAAATAGAGGCAACAAGATAAACGCAAAAGATTATTTCAACTGCGTATACACACCGCTTATCCCTGGAAATGACACAACCTTGATACTGGATGTGTGCCCACCACCCTCGTTGCATCTTCTTCTGGGTATGGTTAATGCGATATACAATGCGATTGCAGAGCACGATCCCGATCTTGCAGGCTTGGATCATAGCGTCAAGCGCAACACGCCATGCGCAGTTCGGGTTTACTGGGAGGCACTGCCGCAGTCTGCTGACGAAGCGAGCCTTGTTGGATACTGGTGACTCAGCCTCGAAACACTTTGTTAATGTTCTTGATGCATTGCAGAAGGTTATTGATGCCTGTTTCGGTACAAATCTACAAAAGGACTACGAGCAATGCATCAGTGAGTTTTGCAAATCATGGAAATTAGCTCAGCTACCGGCTACTCCTAAATTAAATAAGATACAGCAGCACGTGGCAGAATTCTGCCAGAGCAAACAAAACGGTTTGGCGAGCTTTTCCGAACAAACAACTGAAGCGGTACACAAAGATTTCATAAAGAAGTGGGAAAATTACAAAGTACCCAAAACCAATGCTGAGTTCTCGAAGAAACTTCTGAGTTGCGTTGTTGCTTATAACAGTCTTCATATTAAATGAATACATATAATGTTTGCTGTTGTACTGCTGAACATCTACAGAGAGAGTAAATTCATATGAATAACTAAACGATACATTTGTAACGAAATTCTTATTATTAATTCTCTATTAAATAATTGTACAAAGTTCGACACACCTGAAGGGAAGGGTGATTAGGGAATGGGAAATGTGATATTTTGAACATCTATGTCCGCAAATTAATGACAGATGATAACATTTTCAGACATTTTATGATGGTAGCAATCCTGGTGACCATATCTTGTAATAGGAGGAAGAACACCTTTTTAATTTGACGCAGAAATTGTCCAAATTGGAGCTAAAATGACTAACAGTTATTAATTTGAGCATGAGCTGTTGAGCTCTTTTTTTATCATTCTTAGGTGCAAAAGGGTGAAATACTAAAATCCCTTTTTTCAAGTTTTCGCCGATAAAATATTTTCAAACTGTCACAGTTTGATTTTAACCTTATTGACTAACTTTTGATGAAGAAAGATCCGAGGCTCATGCCAGTTTGATAATATTCATGTTCCGATACCCCGTGCGTGGTTATAACGTTACATCGATTCAATTCTCCATGGTACACTATTGATTAGATTGAGCTATGATTCAGTGCATTTATTATTTATGTGCTTACGGTATGAACAAGAAATCTGTTGACACACTATTTAATAAATGTTTATCCACTGGCGGGGATATTGCATATGGGAGGAATAAATGTTTTGTTCTGAGCGTTCGATTAAATATCGATGTTCTACAAATCACGCAGGTAGTTTTTATCGTTCGTACCTTCTGACACTATTTACTGTTTGCAACGCAACGATATCGTCCCGAGGAAGACTGAAACATTATCGATTCAATTCATTGTTCGGTGAGCTTTGAGGAAATTTAGCAGCAATGATGGATGGAATGACATAGAAACCGTTGCCTCACGGCGACTTTTCCAGTTTGCTTTATTGAATTTTTTAACCTCATGTTAAAGGAGCGGTAGGCTAGTTTTGGACGATCAATTTTAAGCGACCAGAGTGGAATAATTTATTTGGGACGTTCTTTTTTGTCCGATTAAATCGGCTGAAAGGAGATTTTCCAATTTCTATAGCATGGTTGGCCAAAAAGTTAAAGTTTGTATTGATTATATGTACAGATGCTATTGAGTGCATTATGGTTGTGAAACTAGTTCAAGTTGTAAAGTGAATATTGCTGTCAAATTGACAGTGTCCATCGACTGTGCATTGAAACAATGTGTGATCTAGTTTTTTATCCTTCCATTCAATCCAATTATAAATATATACATATTCTGTGTTTGTGTTTTATTGAAAGTCAGCTTCAATATTGCAATCTTTTAATTAATATGAAAGAAATAATATCCCAACTAACAATTGTAGCTGCAGAATAGCTGATACAGACAAACAATTGCAGGAGACGCCCATATTAGCCTGTATGTGCTGTTCTGCTGCTTAAACTGTTAGTTGAGCTGCAAATACCTTCCTGCATTTGATAGCCGAAACATCCGTATTTTCTAATATTCAATGTTCCCTCTTTCTATAACTCTGCCACTTCGATCGCAGCCTCTTGTAAATCTTCGCCAGCTTGAACCTCGCAAAAACCAACTCCAGCAAAAGCACTGCCACAGCCAACAGGTAGCCGATCCCAAGGATCATCAACCCACCGGAAATCTCCTCCACGTTCATAATTCTCAACAAATTTTGCGGTCGATCTTTTGAATGCGCGATCGAAGTCTGTACCCAGAAGTTCATGTAGCGATATACATCGACCAGTTCGACATACTGGAAGAGACAGGCATCCCTGATCCACATGGCCAGCCAATCGAACCTATCCAACAGTGGCCATGTTTTGGTCGCGTACCCGGTGTCATACTCGAAGTAGAGCAGCTCCGTCATGAGACGATAGTTTTCAATGTTTTTCCCATCGAACCAGGTTCCGACCATCGAGTGGCCGTAGTTGAGCAATGCCATGATGATGGCTTGGTCGCCTTGGTCCGCAATGCTCTGGAAATTCTCGATCCGGGGCACCTGGAAGGTTGTAAGAACTTTCTGAACGTTTGGCTGTTGAGGAAAAGTGGAAACCAATAAGTATTAAACAGGGGGGAAGAGAACGAGTGAGTATACATTTTCTGTTCCAACCAGGGCGTACATCCAGGCTTCATGGGGAGCGTTCCAAGTAATTCCACTGACGGCTAGATCTACGATTGTGTCTATGGGAGGCTCATATACGGGGATTGCGAGAATGCTGTGAATTTGTCCAACGTAGACGTAGGCAACGGTAATGGTAAACACGGAGAGAGTAGTTGAGAGAATAACGTCGGATAAACGATCCCGTCGGAGGTCTGACGGTAGCAGCAGGAAAGCGCCTAGCAGATTCATCACTACCCACGATAGGCTTCGTCGAGTATGCCGCTCAGGTAAATTCCGAGGGGGTACAAGGTACTGCATTATGGAAATCAGAATAAATGTAGCAATCAAAATTCCCCAAACTTTGTCCGAGAACATCATAAAAACGATTCGCCAGTATTCGATCAACCTGAAATGAAAAACGCTTTACGTTAAGTTGAGATCTATGCATTGATTTCACCTATGGTACCCAGGCCTTGGTGCAAGACACGTGATTCCGATCCATTGAACCGGATTAGAGAAGCTGAAGTATTTGAAGAGTTGATACCAACCTCCAACGGCCCCGATTGCGAAGTCTACCTTACGTTCTACCAACGCTCCTATCATTCCATTGCCGGTTCGGTTCGGAAACACCTGGCCATATTGGTTCTCCTGATCTGCTGATTATTCAGCTACGGTAAAATCATTGATCTATTCAGTTAATTACCACATACTTACCGACGTACAAATCCCAGGTGCAGTTGTACCACAAGCAAAACTGTACCAAGATGTATCCATCCAGCCCGTCGATCGTATACGATTGGTTAAGATATCGAACGATTCCCTCATCCGTTTGGCGCATCATGGACCACGGAAGTAGGTAGAATGTTGCTACCTTCAACGTCTTACCCATCAGATTGCTCATTTTATCCGGGAATAGGTTGGAATCCTCCACGAAAGAACCATTTTCGGGATTGTACGTGTCCAGAAGAATCCAATCCAAGGAATCGGGACCGTTACCAACGTAGCGATGGGTGATCAGTTGAAAAACGTCTCCATGTGGAACCACCAGGAGCAAATTTGCAATCTCCTGTAGCGACGAATGATGTTGAATAGCTTGCAGCAGCTCCGTCTGTGCCGCTCCGGTAGATTGAACCGTTACTAGGACGTATTTTTCCGGTCTTCGGAATAGAATTTCATCGTGCAGTGATATGTAGTGGTCTAGGAAATATGGCGTGGTGTCTTCATCCACCAGGAACACGGCACAGCCCAGTTCGATCGCTTGAACTAACGGGTTGGCGGTAATGTCAGCGGTATTTTGCGGTCTAACTACTGCGACGGGTCGTTCCGATAGGATATCCAGAGGAGACTTCAGGGAGTATGCCGTTTGATTGAGGATTCGGCAGATGGTGTACACTTCTAGGAAGTAGGTGGCCACTGAAAATGAGATCGGTTTATTGGGGATATTTTGATTATTTTGGAAACTGAGCACCAATGTAGCTGACGAGCTTGGCTTGATCGGTCGACAATAGCTCCACCAGAAGTGTACTTTTCAGGCTATCCATTATGCTAACGGAGCAACCTTATTTGAAAGTCGTCCAGTGTGATGTGAGTAACAATTTCATGATAAGCTCAAAGCGAGCCGATTCTCTTTATCTATGCTACGATAGGGTAAACATGGATTATTCTTGTTTTCAATTATTAGATCAATTAACTTGTCATGTAGTTTCATTTTGTTTGATTAGTGAACACAGGCATGGAAAATCATTTACATTCATTTGCCTCTAACTTTTTTCATCAACAGAATTCCGCAAAATGATTTATGAAACTTTTGTAGGTTTTGTTATTAGCTTGTTGATAAAATCTCAAATCCGTATCTCGTATGCATGACGAACCAGAGCAAACAGAATCCACAACTGTTTTTCAGTGAATGTATTTTACATTCACTGAAAAACAGTAACGAGTTCTCCCCGCTCTAATTCGTGATGCATAAGAGATACAGATTTGAGTTACTAGCAAAAGTTGTAGTTAATAATAAAAACTAAAAATGCTCCATGCATCATTTTGCGAAGTTCTGTTGATGAAAAAAGTTAGGGGCAAATGAATGTAAATGAATGCATGCAATGAATGTAAATGATTTTCCATGCCTGAGTGAACACCTGTGATAGTTTGAGAGCAAATATAACGAGTCGTTGCCATTTTTCATTCTACTTCGTTAACTTAAGTAAGTAATTAGTTTGAATTCAAGAGAGGTACGTGTATTTCGTATTTACCGAGTGTGCAGCCGTTATCAATGTCGTTCTCATTATTAAAAAAAAAACAATACAAATCTAACCCTCTTAACGCGAAGCTAACCACCGCCGGCGATCATTTACATTTAGATTTTTTTTTTCAAAAAATGAATTATATCAATAGTCCAAGAAAATCAGATTTTTTCTGTGATGCTTTAGACAATTTTCGTGCAAAAAAAGTTACATTAGTTTTTTTTTTAATGTCGAGACTTTTAGCCGTGGGTTGGTTCGTCAAATTTAACGTGCAAAAACAATTTTTCTACATCATGATGGTAAAAAGTTGGGTATAAAATATCGCAAATCCAGACCTTACAATTTTGGTTATACCCGTCTTTTTTAAATGTTGAATAGAAAAAAAAAATACTCACAGAAAAAATCTGATATTCTTGGATTTTTTATACCTGATTCCAATATTTTATAAAATTCAAAATGCGCCATTTTTTATATTTTTGTGGTGGCCGCTCATAATCCACGTAGACCAAAATTTGATACATTATAACCCCTCTCTCCCCCTCGTAGACTAGAGTAGACTTTTCGAAAACTGCTCCCCCACCCCTTAAAAGTCCACGTAGACTTTCATAATTGTGCAACAAATTCAAACTCGTTTTATTGGCTCAGATTATATTGTATTCATAATTTTAAATCGACTTTTGCAGATTATGCATTCAATCTGAATAAATACGATACGAATGCGTGCAGTATGATAAAACATACACATAGAAAGTTTACAATTGACCCACCCTTCGGTTATTTAAAAGATAGTTCGTATCTATCTGTGAGTTTTCTATTATCCGCATCGTACAGTGCGGTGTAGTGCACGAAAAGCACGAAAAGCACGAACGAAAAACGGTCATGCTTGGTTCGGGTTTTCTGTTGAGCGCATAGTGCCTTGCAAATTTGCGAGAATGGCGGAAATAAATAACGGCGTTCGGCAAACATACCGGATTCAGGTAGAATGACTACCGTTAAGCTGGGTTTAGACAGGGCACTTCAATTGATCAAGTCAGTTGAATTCAACTGACTTGAACGCGAATTGAACGTGTAAACCATGCCATTCAACTGACTTGATCAACTCACTTGAATTGAAAAAAGTTGAACTAGGCTCAACTTTTCAAGCCAACTGAATTCAACTGAGTTGATCATTTGACTTGCCTAGTCTAAACCCAGCTTTAGGTAGGAAGGAAGTATTCGTGGAAAAAAAAATAAGCTACTTTATAAACTCTTTCAAATATGTATGAAGGTGTCCCAAAAGATCGCCAACAATTTAATACGCAATACGAATGGACATTTACGTGTTGCTTGCAATGACTTCTTCAGAAAACTTAAGCTTGTACGATCAGTAAAACAGCTTTTGGATCCCAAATACCAACTCTCGATAACATTTTCAAACGGACGTATCTAAACTAGCTAAACTAACCCACCACCTGAAAGGGTAACGTTTTCCTCAACAATATGGTGTTGTTTAGTTTACATTGAAATGTCTAAAGTTTCGACAAACTGACCATTGCATCTTCTTCATTCTTCTTCATTCCTTTATTTAACGTCGGTCTCTGTTCCGCAATCCAGTGCCAATCACCGACGGACATCGATTGCCATCCATTGACGGCAACTGAATGTGCAGGAAGTCAGCTTTCACACCTGCGTAGCATATCGCACCCATTCAACACACATGGGCCGGGACCAACGGCTTTACTTCCCTTCCGAAGAGAGACGTGACCAGAGAAATCCCACCGACCTCGGCTGGGATTGAACCCAGACCCATTGGGGTGAGAAAGCAGTCACGCTTACCACTACACCACCGGCGCCGGCCTACGACGACGATTGAATCTGTGCTTACCAAAAACAGATACGCTCAAGTCTCTCATGGTGGTCTCAAAGAGTAACCATGAGTGAACAGAAACCTATCTGTTTCTTTTGACGTAAGATTACACTTCTTGGCAGCATATTGAGGGTGCAATAAAAAAAAAACAAAATTGACCGCGTTACGAAAAGTGGTCAGGGCTTTACTACTTATTGCTCTGTTAATAGCGAATAAATTTTAATTCTAAACAAACCAATCGATTTGAAATATTTCTACAAATCTGCTAAAATGAACAATTTATCAATTTTCAATAGGTCACTATTGAAAATTACACAAATGTCCAACTATTGCAATGGTGATAAAAATTATCTTCGATTGCCTACAAAAAGCGCTTTCCGTAACACAGATTTCAAAATCGAAGTCCATCTGGTCTCGCCAAATGGTGCTTATTCAATCACCGTGTGTGGTGGTGTCCGGTCGTCGTCATCCTTATCAGCAGCACCAGCAGCATTGCTGCAGCCCACATGAGCGTCAATTCACCAAAGAAGGTGGAAGAAGCCGCACCGCTACTGATTGGATTCAGTAGCTCCTCGTGAGTCGCTGTGGGCCATCTACGCCAAGTGCGAGTTCGAGTGGTAGTAAACGTAATTTTAAGTGCTCGAATAAAGTGGTTAATTATGTAATTTTTTGACATTGGAGGTTTGAAAATCAAGCGAAAGTATAAAATTATGGTAAGGTTTTTGAATGATCATTAAATCTCCCTCACATCCTTGTAAGACTCTGTAAAATTTGCAGTTCGCAACCCTTTCCCGAAAATCTTTCTAAGATTTTAAAATTTTCAGAAGATCGTAAGATATCCATTTGGGTAAATTTTTACATGCATTTGCGCACTTAATGTATTTGGAGGTGTTTTGGCATTAAATAGCTTTAGATAAAATTATGATTTCACCTAATAAATTGTATGTCAACCCCCCTCTCCCCCAATTCCGTTACTAAATTTGTGGACAATCCCTAATGTTGGAAAAGATATAAATAATCCAAGAAAATCATTTTTGACGTAGGACTACGTCTTTGATTTCTATATGGGGGTACACTTTGTGAAAACTGAAAATGGAACATGTAACAAATTATGAAAGATTTTGAACGTTAATAACTCAGCTGCCCCTGAACCAATTTCAATAATTTTATCACCAATCGATCAGGGCTACTCAAACGCATCAATATCAATGCTGTTGACTGTTTATGTTCAACAAGAAACTATTTAAAAAGTAGTAAATGTCAAGCATTGTCCAAAAGCGTCGAAATAATTAACAAATCCACCAATTACGTACATGCATATGCTGCTTCCCCAGCACAGTCGTCAGAGAGTAGTAAGTAGACGAAACATGTCGATATAGCATTACGACGAGGTTCTGTAGTTCAGTGGTTACCGTTTCTGCTTACTGAGCAGAAGGTAGGGAGTTCTCCCCTACCCCCCCCCCCCCCCCTTTCAATTTTTCACTTTGCCTTATGCTATCCCCACTAGATTTAAATAAAGAACAGTGAATCCTAATGTAAAAATAACCTACCTCGCTAACACTACTATCCTTCCCAAGATAGCCGTGGAGATGTAGAGGCATTCTCGCTCTCTAGTAACAACCGGACGTCGAACTAATCATCCTTCCCTCCCCAAAAGACCGGGAGGACGTGGCCGGCGCTGTGAATTGATCTATAGAATGAATTAATGTGCTTGTACATTGAAGACGGAAAGCTTATCCCATGCACCCATCTATGTAGTTCTCTGTGCAAGTGGATTAGTTGTGATCATTCACGGAGGAGCAACTACGTAGTGCACGGTCAGATAACGTTAACTCGACGGCAAACACATTCATTGATACGTTTATTGTTGTGGATGATAGAGGAGCATAGCAGAAATAGTGCGAAATATGAAGCTATGGTCATCACAAAAGAGGAAATCGAAAAAGCGAATTGGCTTTCGCCCTTCTGCTTCTAAGCCCCTTACAGTCATCGTCATAGCATCGCATCGCTTTTGGTTCTAGGGCACTTGCTGGTTGCAATTTTTAGATCAGGATTCACTGTGATGCGATCAGTTGTAAGCAGCAGAAATTTCCTTCCCAACTCTCTTGTGGAATCTGTGGCTCTGAAAAGGGCCGGTTTTGATAGATTTCGACGGAAAAATTAAGAGCGTTCACCACAAATACGAAGAGCCAGCTGAATGTCCTTTGGCATAATTGTGACATGCTTGGCGTGAATAGCGATCAGACCGACAAGATAGGTCGGTTAATTTCACTCATCGAGGGTATACTTATACCTGTGTCGAGTAGCATATTATTAATACAGGGAGGATACAACACATGCAGTGGGAAGCAAAATACTGGAAAGGAGAGGAGTTTCGCTTCTTATGCTACGAGCACAAAACGAGACACCACCGTCGAAACGACTATCAGTTATTCTCTACCGAAGCGAACAGCTA